ATGTGTTGGGGGTTTAAAAGTTAGTCGTGAATGATGAGTTTCCTTTATGAATAAAAAGACTCCTTATTTTATATATCTATAAAGTGAAGCTTGAATGTTCTTCTATATGCGTATCCTACATTACATACAAAAAAGAGTATTAAGTCACCCATTTCTACTCACCTATTAAAGAAAATAACAACTATTCTTAAGTGAATTTAACAGAAGAGAAGTAATATTGAATGGAGCACTATAAATAATGCAGTGGAAAATAAAATGGAAAAACCCCAAAGGCATCCCTACCAGGATGAGAGGTCTGCCCTTGACCAGCTTCTCTCTCCTGTCCTCAACAGCTGTGCAGGTCTGTGTCTCTTTGTTGCTGGGTGGAGAGAGTGTCAGGACACAAGCTTTCATCAATCTCAGGAAAGATCAGGGACATGGCCTTCTTTCAGCATTTTTCACTGGCTGTAATTTATAATTAACTCAGCAGCTGTGCTGTGGAACATTCATGGTTTCTAACTGTCCACACCTTAACTGATTAAGAAGTGAATATGGTGGCGTCTATCAATCTCATTTTTTATAATGACCCTTAGAAGTGGAATTTCCAGGTTAAATGTATATAAGATGAATTTGAGGGTCGCAGATATTCAACTTGAATCCTCAGCATAGAGTTAGAGACTGATAGAGGAAGACTGAGTCTGCTCAAATCTCTGTGGAGATCTGAAGTCAGAGAGATGGTCCAGGAAGAGGAGGAGGACACCATATCACCTAGCAGGAATCATGGCTAAAAAAGTCCCAGTCCAGGCTGCCTCATCCATCAGTGAGTTCTAAGGAAAGCGTCACACATTCCACACTGGACAGGAGAGAGCTGGAATGGTTTCAGATCTCCTCCCTACAAGCTTCAGGCCCCCTGTGTCACTCAGGGGAGCTATGTATGAGGTCAATCTGTTTCAGAGCCCAACTTGACTGAATGTTTTCCACCCAGGTGCAGATCTGAACTGCCACATGTGGACTCACCATAGCTATGGAGCAGGACAGGTAGTTTACAGGGAGCAGGTCAGGAGATGGGGACACTGCAGGCAGGTCAGGGTATAAAGCCTTAAATAAGAGACCAGGCCCTCACCAGCCCCAGTTTCCTCCAGCAGTAACCACACCATGCAAGAATGTGCATTAAATCTGAGTAACTGAAAGGAGTTACTCACAAAATTATATATTATAGAGATAGTTTGAAGATACAAAAGTAAATGGGAGCATCCGTAAGTAAAATGAGATGTGACCTTTAATGGATATGTGGTGTCCATTGATGTCCCCGAACCACATGCATCAGAAGGAAATAGTCTGATGAACAGAGCAATAAGGAGCACAGGCAATGTGTAAACATCACAGCTGCTTAACAACAACAACAAAGCTGGGATACAATAAGTGCACTGGTGAATTTTATCCAGTATATAATAAAGAATAAATACTGATTGTTTTTAAATTATTGGATCAAGTTGAAGGAAAACCCACCACCAACTTCTTTTAAGTGACAAAGTTAAAGTTATCCTGAGAATGAAGCCAGATAATAATGTGTTAAAAATAATATAAATGAAAACACTCTGTTGGCTAATATTCCTACCAAACATACACAAATGTGTTCAGCTAAATGTTTGCAATGTTAACTCACCAGCATATTCAAAATTAACCAACATGATCAACACTGGGCTCAATCTCAGTGGTGCCAGAATGGTCCTTCTCTAACAAACTATCTGTTTCCACTGGTTTTAACAAAAATATGCGATAGTATAAAGAAAAATTTTTATAGGCAAGGAGATAATATAGAAACCATTGTTCATTTTCGGTTAACTGGTTCTAAATACCCTGTAATTCCTTCATTCTGTTGAATGGCTTCACACTGTCTTGATATGCTTGATGCTATCGTATACAAAGTTAGACTCAAATAATTCAAGGAATGAGGCACTATGGTTACTACTATTATGTTAGATTATCTGAGACTGAAACATAATTATGCTTAAATTGTTCCATTCTGACCAGTGTTGTTCTATTACAATGTCCTATTTTATCTCAATCTCCACCCTTTTTTAAAAATTAAACTATTTTTTATTTTTTTCAATTAAGGGAAAACTAAATTTAAAAATAGCGGGATATATTATAGTAACTATTTGTTTTCCTATTAACCTGATTTGAATGCCAGTATTGCTCTCCACATCTTGTTCTGCCTGATTTTACTATATTCTATTTTGTTTTATAGTATCAAGTTTGAGGGTATAGGCAACCACTTTAAAGGGAATAAGATATATTATGATGCCCATTATAGTTTGACTATTATCTTCTTTTGAAATCTTGCAAAGTCTCCATTGTAGGTTTTATTGGTCTTGTTCTGTACTGTTTTGATCAATTCTATTATACCTGATGATATAGCAACTCTTTTTAAAAATAGCAAGAGGCACAATGGTAACCATTTTTGATCATCTGATATTCTATTTTTGCATCATGTACTATGCCCATCCTTCTGTTCTAACTGACTCTGTTTTATTTAGTCATGTTAGGATTTATTCTCTTCTAAAAAATTTAATAAGAACTGTGGGAGTAAAAAAGCTCAAAACATGTAATTGTTATTGTAAAAAAGAGAGGAAAGGAAGGTGGTCTAAGGGATATAACTGCATGTTTGAGTGTGTAAATGGAAAACCATATTACTGAGCTTTTGTTGGATCTCTGAATAGAACTTTCTGCAATCTCACTGTATGAATGTCCACTTTATATGCTTTAATTTTATAATTTGGACAACTGTTTCTAAGATGACAATATGTAACCTATTAACTAGTGATTTCTTACTGTATTTTTTCCTTGAAATTCTGTATTACTTGTACCCTTTTACTGCTTTGTTTTTTATTTCCTTTCTTTTTTCTCTTTAATTAAAAAAATAATCAAACCTGGAATGGATATCTTTTATTTATTTATTTATTTTTGGCTCTGGAGATCAAACTCATGACCTCACACTTGCCAGCCAGGTGCTTAAGCCACTGAGCTAAATCCCCAGCCCACCAGTGGATATCTTTTACATCTTGCCATCTTCTGAGTAGTTGCCTCTGTTCTTGAACTTGATACCAGCAAGCTTACCAAATGTGAATAAAATCAGCCAAGGCCAAATAACATTGAAACAATCCAGCTTCAAAGAAGATCAGTCATAGAAGACAATGTAAGTAATATAGGGATTCAGTTTTAGTTAATAGGAAATTAAGGATAATTACCATGGTATAACCTGCTCGTTTTGCGTTATCCCTCTGTGACCTCAAATCTAATATGAGTAGACAGACCAGAACTAAATATAACCAAACTGAACAGAGCAACCAGACCACTGTAGCTTTTAAATCCTGATACACTTTTAACAATGTGCTCTGCCTTCTTTTTTTAGGCAATTCCTCACCTTTCTCCTTCTCAGGATACTATTATTCAATGTTCAGAGTGATATTAGTCTAATCTCTTATGTTCAATTTCAGCATACATAAAGATAAAGACAGCTACTACAAAGAGAATGAGAGACATTGTAGTATTCATTATCGACTTCCCCAAAATCAGTCTTGAAGATCGAAAAAGCCTGCATCATCCTGTAATTATTTGATTAGTTCTATAATATTCAGTATATATTCAATGTGTGTGAAGATGGGAACAACTATTTGGAAGAAAACTAGAGACAGTAAAATAGACAGTGAACATTTCCAGTGGACTTGCTTTGAAATCTGTGTTTCCTTAACTTGTTTCCTTATGAAATGTTCTGCTCTGTTTTGCCATGTTTAATCTTACCCTCTTTAAGAAAAAAAAAGTGTGTAGGACAGATAGGCATATTAGTAACTTTTTGGTGGATCATTGAGGTGAACTGTTGACAGTGTCATTATTTGAATATCACTTTGTATGCTTTAAATTTGTAATTTGAACAACTACTTCTAAGATAACAATATGATACTAATCAACTAGTGATTTGTTATTGTTTATTTTTCTGCAATTCTGTATTATTTCTACACTTTTTTTCTCTTTAAATAAACAACATTATAATTCACCAAAAAATATAAAATTTAAGTTTTAAAGACAAAATATTAAGTACATAGACACTATCCATACTTGAAAGTGAAAAGCCCATTTCAGTTTAGCATTTTTAATTACAAGATGCCATGTTGAAGCACAAAAACACTTTTAAAAATCTAGAGAGGTACAAGTGATTAACTGAAAATCATAAAACATATGCAATTGAGTAGCGCTCCACCTCAGATTTGTCATTTCTGGAATATTTGTGAAGAAATTTTGACATCTAACTTCTGTATTGATTATTTCTTCAGGTCTCCTTGGGATTTTTAAAGTAAACTTAGATCTAAACTGTCTGAACAGTGATGCTTTTTCTATGTATTTAACAAGAAACATGGATTGCCATATTTCTCACATTGTTAATCAACATAGCATCTCTGCCCAGTGAGCTCTTTCAGATATTTAACAATGATCATGTATGCTAAGAGTATTCACATAACACATAGGATTTATCTCTTGTGTGAGTTTTTTCATGTATTTCACTTACAATCTGGCTACTGAAAGTGTCTCCACTTGGATACATAGCCAGTGGTTCTTCCCAGTGTGAATTCTTTCATGTGTTTTGCAATGACTATATGCAGTAAAAGCTTTGCCACATTGTTATGTACATAGGCTTTCTCACCAGTGTGAAGTCATAGATGTATTTTATAAAATCCATGTGTGGTGAAAGCTTTCACACATTCTTCACATACACAGAGTTTCTCAACCATGTAAATTTTAAAATGTATTGGACAATGAGCATTTCTGCTGAAACCTTTCCCATATTCCTTACATATGTAAGTTTTCTGCCCAGTGTGAAGATTTTCATGCATTATGCAATATGTACATGTGCTAAACCATTCTCATGATGCCTATATACACAGGTTTTATATTGAATATGAACTTTCATGTTTCTTACAATCTCCCTGTGTTTTAAAAGCTTTCCCACATTGCTTACATAACTATGGTTTCTCTCTAGTGTGAATTCTTTCATGAACCTTACAATATGCATGAGTGTTAAATGCTTTCCCACATTGCTTACATACATATGGTTTCTCTCCAGTGTGAATTCTTTCATGTTCCTTACAACGTCCAGGTCTGGTAAAAGCTTTCCCACACTGCTTACATACATATGGTTTCTCTCCAGTGTGAATTCTTTCATGTTCCTTACAATGTCCAGGTCTGGTAAAAGCTTTCCCACACTGCTTACATACATATGGTTTCTCTCCAGTGTGAATTCTTTCATGTTCCTTACAATATCCAGGTCTGGTAAAAGCTTTCCCACATTGCTTACATACATAAGGTTTCTCTCTGGTGTGAATTCTTTCATGTTTCTTACAGTCTCCCAATGTGTTAAAAGCTTTCCCACATTGCTTACATACATATGGTTTCTCTCCAGTGTGAGTTCTTTCATGTGCCTTACAATATCCAGGTGTGGTAAAAGCTTTCCCACGTTCCTTACATACATAGGGTTTCTCTCCAGTGTGAATTCTTTCATGATTCTTCCAAGCTCCCTGTGTTTTAAAAGCCTTCCCACATTGCTTACATACATAGGGTTTCTCTCCAGTGTGAATTCTTTCATGTTTCCTACAGTCTCCCCGTGTGTTAAACGCTTTCCCACATTGCTTACATCCATACGGTTTCTCTCCAGTGTGAATTCTTTCATGTTCCTTACAGTGTCCAAGTTGGGTGAAACCTTTTCCACATTGCTTACACACATAGGGTTTCTCTCCAGTGTGAACATTTTCATGTATTTGAAAATGAATTTTACTGCTAAAAGCTTTCCCACATTTCTTACATATATGCGATTTCTGCCCAGTGTGAAGTTTTTCATGGATTACACAATAAGTACATGTGCTGAAAGCTTTCTCACAGTGCTTACATTTATAACATTTTTCTCTGGAGTGAAGACATTCATGTACTTGACAATATGTACATGTTGTAAAATCTTTCCCACACTGATTACATACGTAAGGTCTCTCTCCTCTGTGAATTCTTTCATGTTTCTTACAAATTCCATGTGTGGTAAAACCTTTCCCGCATTGCTCACATACGTAGGGTTTCCCTCCACTGCAATATTTTTCATGGATCTGAACATTGTGGTGTGTTTCTGTTTCTTTCACATTCACATTACCTTCTGCAGAACAAAGGAATACTTCTTTACACTGATTCCAAGATGTAGGTCCATAAGATTTTCGTAGCTTGTCATTTCTGTAAAGAAAAAAAATCACATATAGGATTTATAAGCATATTACTAAGCTTTTCTTGGAGAGTTGAACAAAACTGTTTGCAGTCTCACTGTTTGAATCCCCTCTTCATATGTTTCACTTTTGTATTTCATAACAATTTCTATGAGCAGCATATGTAATCATCATCTTGCAATTTCTTTCTGTTTATTTTCACTTTGAAAGCAATATTGTTCCTTCTTATTTTCTCTAATTTAATTTTCCTTATATTAAATTTAAAAAAAGAAAAATTCACAGTAAAATGGGTCTCCGTTTAATGAGTGCATTAATATCAAGTTCTGTTTTCAATGCCTGCTAAGAAATTCTGACCATGAAGCAACAGAATGGCCTTGTAAGATATGTTGAAAACAACCATTCCCAAAAGGATGGTACACATTAGGAAATCTTAAAAATTGGTACTTTGAAATGCAGAATCTTTAGCTTCACTTTGGGCATGGGTGCATATGTGTATCACATGCAGATTATTCTCATATGTTTCCCTATCACAATCTCCCTTCTGTCCTTAACCTGTAGTTCCCTTTTCCATATGGTCAGTCTTACTTTTCTCTAACAACTCTGTTTAATTTCATTCCACATTTTGTATTTTGGTTTCTCATCTAAAAGAAACCCTGTGACCTTTTAGGTTTTATAGCTAAGCTATTTCACTGAATTGATGGGTGAAAGACCCATCTAATTCTTTTGGCAAATGACATTATATTATTTATTTTTTGACATTATATAACACATTTTTTTCTTTTCTGGGCTGGGAATGAACAACAGGTATTAGCATAAATCTATAGCTTTTTAAAAATCTATTTAAGAGATTTTCACTGAACATTAAGCTGTGAAGTTTGAACTTGAATTTGCCATTCTGCAAAATCTGATTTCTAGTGTGCTGGGTTTACAAGAATGCAGAATCACTAAGAGTCTATTTACATTTTCCTTCTCCACAAATCCAGTGATAGATAGATCCGCTTCAAGGCCTGATCTGTTATAACTTGATCTGCTTTATATATGAGTAAGCATGTATCAGTATTTTATGCAGATTTAGAGATTTTAAAAATATCCAGGACAAGTATGAGGGGATCAATTTCTAGAGACAACTGCATACTGATATTCAAAATGAAGTCACTAACAGTTCACCAGCCTACTAAGAATATTAATCAGAATTGCTGATTGTCTAGAGCATGGCTTGGAAACATGAGCACTCAGTTTTATTTCAAATTCTATTGCAATCTTATCAATTGTTACATAATGAATGTGTTGTATTCACATGTATATATGGGTAGAAAAACTAAAGGCAGAATGTCACAACTCAAAGTGTATGCCTTTCGTACACATCTATATGCAGTGTCATACATTTTCATGATTTAATTCCCTCATATATACACTAGCTTATATATCTTCAGAGAATATTACTGACATTAAACTGAATGGTGCCTCACTTCTTTCGTGGTCATTTTTCTGCTGACTCACTAATTACTCAGGAACATTCCTCTCCTTGTGAGTGTGAATTACCTTAAGTATCTCTAGTAAATTTTGCCTTCTTTTTCAGCTTCATGATATCCCCAAGTCCTCCTGAATTGTAGACATATAAATATCAGGACTCAGTTGAGTAATACATACAAATTAATACATTTATGTTTACATTTATGATATAATGTTTCCATGTCTGAGCTATTTTTAAAAATATTTTCATATTCTTTTTAATGAAACAGCACTAATTAGCAACAAACAATATTCTGACAGCATGAGTACCAAAAATATTTCATCCTTACCTATTGCAGCCATGTTCCTAAAGATTTTACCCATCACATCTCTGTAGAGGTTCTTTTGGGATGGACTCAGCAAACTCCACTCCTCATTGCTGAAGTTCACAATCACATCCTCAAAGGTCACCGCCTTCTAAAGGATCATATATATATATATATATCTCAAAGGAAGGTTGAGACCCCAGGTTTGGGATATCTTAAATTCTCTCCTACAAATCTGAATCAAAAGCAAAGTGTGGTGATGCATATCTATAATCCCAGCACTCAAAAGGCAGAGACAGGAAGCCATCAGTGAAGTCAGGGCAATTCTAGGCTCCATAGGGTGTTCAAATCCAGCTGATATACATACAGAAAGCTTGTCTCAATAAAACAAAACTAAACTAAACAAATAAAGCCAAACAAACAGCTGAACGAAGACTGATTTGTTCAAATTTAAATCCATGTCTTGGTCATTAATTTTGTGTCTATACACATTTTTGAAGACAGCCAATTTGATGCTAGATTGCAACTCACTGCTAAAGTAACAGCCAAATAGGAGCACTGATTCTTGTGCTGAGTCATGGCAAGATTCCCTGTGCACTTTCTCTAAAGCAGAGCTCACAGTGAGAAGTCTGTAGGACAAGCAACCACAAAGCACAAAGGCAGATAAATATCTCATCAACTGACTGGGAAGCCAAGCAAGCACCTCCCCTCCCTGGTCAGCAGTGGTGGTTTGGCAGACTGCAGCCCTTCCAGGGGGAAAACCAACAGCAGCTCCTGAGATGCATGCCATGTTGGAATTTAGGACACTGGGAAGCCAAGCAAGCACCACGTCTCCGTGGTAAGCAGTGGCAGTCTGGCAGAATGCGGCCCTTCCAGGGGGAGAACCAGCAGCAGCTTCTGAAATCCATGCCATGTGGGAACTTAAGACACTGGGAAGCCAAGCAAGCACCTCCCCTCCCTGGTCAGCAGTGACAGTCTGGCAAACTGCAGCCCTTCTATTGGGAGAACCAGCAGCAGCTCCTGAGATCCATGCCATGTTGGAACTTAGGACGCTGTGAAACCAAACAACCAGCCTGTCTCCCTAGTAAGCAATAGTGAACCTACTGATGCACCACCTAGAATCAAACATCCCACTTCCCTACCCCTCTTCAACTGTCACCCCACATTAGCAAATGGTAACCAGAAATCTGAGCGTCTCCTTTGAAGTAGACCATAGCAAATAAGGGGGACTTCCTTGTACTATCTCTTTGAAGAAAAATGTTTTTATTATTGTTTCACTCTATTCTGATTAATGGTACTGCTCTATTCAATATTCTGTTGTGATAAGTTCTATAGTGTTCTGTATTTCATCTCATTTTGATATGTGATTAAAGAACAACTATTACAAAGATAACAAAATATACTGTGATACCTATAACTATTATCCCAGTAACCTGTTGTGAAGTTGTGTAACAATTTCACTGTATGATCTTAGTTGGCCTTATGCTGCCTTGTTCTGTTGTATCTTACCAATTTCAAAATTAAATAAAAAATCTCATCAATCACTTTGATAGACTACAGATGATGTCTCTTCAAATCTCATTTAGGCCAATGAGTACTTTGTTCTTAATATACTTAAGTAGCATTTGGAGACATTAATTTGGTAGAACAAAACATAAGTAACATCAAATATGGTACATAAATAATAACTCAAGTGTTAGTGGAAAACAGCTGTATTTTAAAAATATGTATATAAAATGAAACCAGGCCCAAGCTGTAAATTATACCTCACTGTCACCAAGTGATCACTTTCAATTCAAATATAAGAAATATATCTTGGGAGGCTGGTGAAGTAGTTCTTCCTTGAATTTGGGGCTATCCTAAGTTACAGAGCTGTCTAAAATAGACAATCCCTGACTGAGACACTGAGCAAACCAAGTGAAACTTAAAAAGAGATGGCATAAGACATCTTTGGTTTGTTTTAAAACGTTATAGGCATACAATACAGAAAAATTCCAACAATACTCAACACTTTCTGAGAAACAATGTGGATATCTTCCATACTACACAGAAAACACTTTCATAGTTGGGTATTTAGCTCAGTGGCAAGAACGCCTGCCTGGAAAGCATAGGTCATGCGTTTGGTCCTTAGTACAAAAAAATTCAAATTTCACCTTCATGACACTGGGGAATAATTAGAGATAATCAAAATTAGATCTCAAGTATGGACCACAAAAATCATGGGTTGACAGGGATGTGGAATACTGATTGTTGCCAGAGCTGGTGTTGATCACCTCAAAGAAGCAATCAGAACACAACTTTACTTCATACTTACTCTAAGAACTACCTGACTTTCAGTGAAGACCCTCTCTGTTGTATGTCCTGCTATTTGCTTCCTGCATCCTGTCAGTCACTTCCACATGCTTTCCACACTCCTCTGATCCATCCTAAGAAGAAAACCCTTTATGCCTATCTATTGATATCACTGCAAAATTTATAATTAGGGCTTCACCTTTACACCACTTAGATAAGTCCATTGCAGAGCATCTCTATATTTAAATTGTCTATGAACAACCAAGCTACTAAATCAGCTCTTAATTCAGAGATAACACCACTATTCCTTTTCATTTAGAAGGATATCACGTGTATATGTCCATGCAAATGTCTAAATTTTGGAATTTTTCTATGAGAATTTAACAGGTAGCCCTTTCTGGAATTTGTCCTTCACAAATATTTACCCTGCCTTAATAACATTTTGATATTGTTTCATTTTTCTCAGACTTCAAAACTCTATGGCTTTTCTCACAAACCTAGTCTGTGAGCCGAGGTGCCACCTAAATTATTAAGTATGTTCAGAAATTATTTTGCACTGATCTGTATAAAACACAGGAGTTCACCAGTTGTTTGGGAAGCCTTTCTCCACTGAGGCACACTACTACACATCTCTGAATTCTCAGGACCTTTGCCACTACCTGTCATGAGGATGGAAATGTGAGAACATACTATAAATGGAGGAGATCACTATAAATACAAAAAAAGCCCAAGTTTAAGTTGAGCCATTGTGGCTATGAGGCCCTGCATTACAGACATTAATAAACTCTGGACATTCTAGATCTGCTACACTGAGGAAAGAGAGTATAGACCTAGCTCATTACTGCTGTACAAGCTACAAATCATCATAGTCAGAGT